TTTGTACTAAAATTACAAAATACCAAAGAAAAATTAGTGAAGAAATGAGCAAATTGAGGAATTTTAAATAGCTTAATGATAATTGGTACAGAACTTTTCTTTAACATCAGTAGCAAGGAATTGCTGGATATTGTGGTCTTAGACACCATAAATTTACACTTGAAATGTCATGATGAATCTATGTAGATGATGTGTACTACAAGAGGAAACCTCTGAACTTTTGTAACTACCCGTCATTGGGAACTCGAAACACGAAGATTTTGTCTTACCCAGATGATATCTTCAAACAAAGTATAACAAGTAGTCCGACTCTTTGACAGCAGTACCTAACTCTAAGCATGTGTTAGTGAAAAAGTACCTAACTCTAAATATGTGTTGGTAACGAAAATGTATATGTGTTGGTGCATTCTGAACACACAGAGTTTTATAAAAAATTACAATTTTAAATTTGTTTGAATTTTCAATACCAAAAATTGAAACTCTGTTTGTAAAATAAAATTCAACAATAACAAAAATTAAATGTCAATAATTAAAAAAAAATATTTTTTTCCAGTTCAAGCTAATTAAACAAAATTCTTAATAAAAAGTGCTTGAAAACTATTTAAAAAAATGCAGTTTTTTTGTGGATAAGTGCAATTTCGCGTACGATGCCTAAAAGTGGCCAAAAAAGTAAGGTGAACATTTGAGTACTTTGACAAGTTTAATTTTCTCACAAGAGAGCCGTATTCACACGGCACTCGTACATGTGAGAGAGTAATTTCCCATATGTGAGAGTCGGACTACTTGTTATACTTTGTCTTCAAACACTCACCGATTAATCCATTTATCTTCATGCGCGAATTTGGCCTAGTATGGTGAACCAATGGGCTGCACAAAATCTCTACAATATGGTCGAAGTGCATTGTGTCCTTAACGTCTATTCCAAGGGATTAAGGTCATCAACACCTGTCAATTTTTTTCAGTTTTTAGGAATATCTCGAATATTAATGGTATAAAATATTATTTTGTTAATGGTAAACATTGTTTTTTTATTTTAAACTTATTTATTGATTAAATAAAATAAAAACTGAAAAACTGTATAAATTTTCAAAAAACTTTTTTTATTGGAATAAAACTTGAAAACTTTTTTGAATCTCAAAAAACTTGCAAAAAAAGGGAAAACTTGACATATGGTAACACTGAATACAACAGCTCAGCACACTGTACTTCAGGGAATATGTTATATAAAGTTAAAAGAAATAGTTGTGGAATTTCTTCGAACGAGTAAAGTATACATATAACTGTCAATCAAGCTGCCAGATCACAGCAGCTTAATACAGACCGTTGTAATGACCATTAGAATATTCGCGGAACATATTTAATATGAGATATTGGGGGGAATATCCATTTACTAACGATTATGGATAGCAATCAAACTTTAGTTGAGTTGCCAATAGACAACGCAACTAACATAAAACTTGATACTATGAACGGAAACTTTCGATAGTTGTTAAAAAGTTATCGATAATGTGTCATCTCTGATTATTTAGACAGACTAGCAACTAAAAAATGTAAACAAACAAAAATATGGATAAAATTGTAAATTAAAGTTAAATTTGTATATAAAATAAAATCATAAGTGATGTTTACATATAGGCAGGCTTATATCCAGCAGTGGACAACCCAGCCATTGTGTAGTTGTTGTTGCTGCACTTACGCACAGATTGCTAAGTAGAAACAAGATGCTCAAAGAGCTAGCCGGCATCAATTGGGGAATGGACAAAGAAACCTTGTTGACTATCTATAAAACAATTGGCCGGTCAGTGGTCAAATATGCCGCTCCAGTATGGTCTCCTTCGCTGAGTGATACCCAGTGGGAAAATATTCAATGCTGCCAAAATGCTACCCTACAGACTGTAACGAGCTGCATGCAAATAATGCCGGAGCACCACCTACATGAGGAAACGAAGGTCCCCCAATCAAGGAACATAATATCATAATGACTAAACTGTTCCTCCTGGGATGTTACCAGAGGAGTCATCCAACCTCAACATCACACAGTTGGATGCTCCCCCGAGGCATGTCAGGAATGACCTTTGTGTATACGAGGGGAGCATACGAATATATGTGCAGGATCGCTTGGATCGGAGTTCGTATACAGCAGCTTTGAACGACATTCATAAAGACGCCATACCGCGGTTTCAGGTTACCGCATGAATGTCGTTCTTGGAAGTCGCCCAAAGCAGAAAGAGAGAAGAACCTGCCGCGGAAAACGAGAACTGCTCTGGCACAACTGAAATCGGGGTGGAGCAACAGGCTCAACGCCTACTGGTCCCTCATAGACCGAGCCGTCCCAAATATGTGGACAGGGTCCCCATGATATCCAACACATATTCAACTGTCCAGCCCACTTTACTTCATTTAGCCCAATGGATTTACGAACTCAACCTTAGTTTTCGATTGATCTTTCAAGTTTGCTGTGACATGGAACATTGTCACAAGCAACTACTAACTCTCGAAGGTTGCTCCCCAAGTCCTCCAATTTTCGAAAAACATTCTCAACATACCCGTTTGCAGTAGCACCTTTAAAGGAATCTGTTTTTGACACATTTTTATTATTCCTGATGTACAAATGGTTCTAATAAGATGTATATTAGGACCTCATGACGTTGGAACCGTTTGTACGGCACGTGTACCACATCCTCGTTTTTGCCTGCAAAACAAATTGAAATTAGTTTCGTCAATCCATATCATTTGCTGTCCTGCTCTAACGAAATCGTTTAGTAGTCGCATCTATTACCTATTAATTGGTATTAACTTCATTGTTCATAGTAGTAGGTTTAGTTGGCAATCCTTGACGCCAAAACGCGTAGGTTGGACCTCCAGCTTTACGGTGTACACTCTACTATGGAATGATGATTGAGCTATTTTTTTTAATTTTTCTGAATTTATTTTGGGTTTATTTCCTTCTCTTTGATGGTCACATTCTTGATATTTAACAACCCAGTGGTGAACAGTATTATAACAAATCGTTATAAAAACAAGTAACAGCTTAATTACAATTGGAACCACAACCGCTGTCGATAATGAGTTTTCATACATTTTGTATGGATAGCAAAATAACGTCTTGTGGTCAGAGTACGAAAAGAAAATAAACGAAACGTTTGCAATTGTTTTGTTTTGGTCTTTGCAAAGAGTAAAACAGAAACAAAACCAAAACAACAAAATATAAAAACAAAATAAAAACCGTACAAATTAAATGAAGTGTGTGTGTGTGGATACACACAGTTTATGATTCTTTCATAAAATACGTTTCTGCATTTGTTTTGTTCTCAAATGTACGATTGTAAAGGCAAACAAAAGCAAGTAGATGAGCGAAAAAGTACCTTTTGTAGAACGAAAAAGTACCAAAAAGTCCCCTTTTATGTGTTCTGACGAAAAAGTACCAAAAAGTCGCCTTTTATGTGTTCTCGCCTAATCCAGGCTCTACATACTTAATTTCATGCTTCTAGCCAATAACAACGTAACGTTTGTTATCTTTGCTTTGTGTTTATAAATAAGAAATCACAATAACTAAAAAATTTACCGTTTGATACCGTGTTTTGTTTTTGTTTGTTTATTGTTTTGTATAAGCATGCATGAGAAATTTAAATTTTTCATGAAATTTTCAGAGGTGGTCTCGGATTTTTACTCATATCTTCGTTATTTATGGACCGATTGGCTGATTTTAAGTAGCGTTCTATTCGATCGTATTGTCGATAGAATTATTGAAAATTCGGATCTCGCAGATATCTGGGGTCTTCTAAAAACTGATTTCAACATACACACAGAGGACAGACGGACAGATGGTCATGGACGGACATGGCTAAATCGACTCCGCTATCTATAAGGATCCAGAATATATATACTTTATAGGGTCGGAAAATTATATTATAGAAATTACAAACGGAATGACAAACTTATATATACCCTTCTCACGAAGGTGAAGGGTATAATGAGAAAACATATTATATATGTTCCCGTATTTTGTTCTGAATAATTTTTTAATCATTCCTATTTCATAAAAAATAATTATATGTCAAATACAGGAAAAATTTTAATACTTTGGACTAATTTTAAAAAAAGTGGAATTTATTTACATAAATGTAAATTTTTCAAGTTTTAAGAAATGTCATATGAAACCGAAGGACTGTCTAGATAATATAACAATTTTTTTATTTAATTTGCACACAAAAAATATTAAATTTGGTTTCTTTTCATAGTATACAAAAATTCGAATACTTAGAAACACTGTAAATCCAAACATAAATCTTTTTTTTTTTTTTTGCTGATTTAAAATAGGAAACTTCTCGAAAGCATGTCTGACAGAATTATTGAAGATTTGGATTTGAGAGAGAATTTTGTTTATATGGAGTAGGGATATTCAGCGAATGGGAACGCTAAAGCGAATAATAAATTTTATTTTTTGCGAATGCAAATGCGAAAACGAATGTTAAACTAATATAAACACTTCTTTTAATTTATTTCCATAAATTGAATACAAAATTTTTGTTTTTTATTTTGTTTTGAAATTTTTATAATTTTTTTGTTTTGTGTATGGTTGTAAAAATAGGTACTTTTTACACTAAGACAGGCATATTCATTGTGATTTCAGGTTAAGGGCCGTTCATCACACTTTACGTACGACAAGTCTAATGAAAAAGTAAAATAAAATTCCATCCGTATGACAAAAAAGAGAATAAAAGTCGTATGATTTATATATTTTGTGTTTACACGATTGGTAAAAACAATAACAAAGTAAGATGGAAACAGCTGTTTCCCCTTTTTTTTGTATGTGTTTACATAAAAATACGTCCCTGATCTAATGCGACTTGCTTGTTTATTGAATCATTTCAAAAAATGAAGAGAGTCATACGACTGCCAAATTTTCCATCCGTATTTTCTCTCAATGTGTGATGTTTTTGTTACATATTGCGTTTAGACGATCCCATCCGTTCTCTTCTACACAAAATTTTGACAGATCATATTACTTGTGTGCTCGTGTGAAGGGGGCTTTAATTTAAATGAAATTAAGCAAAATTTCTTGATTTCAAATTAACAAAATGTATGGGAAATTGCTTAATTTCGATCGAAATCTCGAAATTACTTAATTTCGTTTAGTCAGGTCATCCGCAAGGTCTTCCTTTGTGATGATTTTATATGGCGTTGCTCCACTATAGTTCGGATGGTTTACACTCTCTTTTATTTTATCAACAATAATATTTTCAATATCCTTAAAATTGTTTTTAACAGCCAGATGTAATATTGAATCACCCGAACCTAAGACTTCTTTTTCTAAAATATTTATTTTGTATTTTAAACAAAATTCCAACATTACTTTCACCACCGTCGGTAAATTTTTTATAACAGCTAAATGTAAAATTGTATAACCATCATGATTATAAACTCCAAACATTTTTCTTAAATTTTCAATAAGTTCCATTTCGTCTGCATTATCTTCAGTGCGATTGATTACTGATGTTAATATTCGTACAAATACGTCAATACATTCCTTATGTTGTCTTTGTATTGCAACGTGTAACGGTGTTCTTCCATAGAAATCCTGTTTGAAAATTGGACATTTTAATGCAATTAATTGTTTTATATGTTGTGGTTCATTAAATTGACACGCCAAGTGGAGTAGATTTTCCCGATATTCATTTAATGCTGTGGACATTTCTTCACTGTATTCGGCATTTCTTAAATAATGTCGAAATAGTGAAAGATCATCAGCGTATAATTTGGTGAAGTTGATGCAATATACTGAAAAGATATTTGTTTTAATATAAAGGGAGCTAGAAACCAGAATTTTATCGGAAAAAAGTTTTATTTAATATACTTACAATTTTTTACCGATTTATTTAAGCGCTTAATAGGTTTCACTTTATTAATCGTTACTGTTTTTGGGCGTACACTATCAAATAAACACTGTATACGATTCATTCTGTTGTTAGCCATTGCTGTCAGCTAGTAATGAAAACTTTTTGTGGAATCCTACGTTATATATCAACGATGGCTATACAGTGAACTGGGGAAAATTCTCTCATAATCAAAACAAAATAAAACAAGTAAGAAATTATAGTCGGGCGAGGCCGACCATATAATACCCTACACCTTTGACAAAAATATAATGTGATTTAGTTGCCATAATAAAGCATTTAAGTTGAATTGTACCTTGCCTTAGATATACATACTTAAGCCGTTTATTGTTGAATAAAATTGTGGACATTTAAGTGAAATTTTGATGGGGGCTTTTAATAGGGGCTAGGGTCATATGAGAACCTATTATTATGGAATTCGTGGGGGTCATCAAGTCTTGTATACAACTTGGTTATTGCAGCTTTTTGTCGAGATATGAGTATATTAAACATAATTATGAACTTAAAAGCCCTATTCGGCGGGTTCAGTTGTATGGGGGCTAGGTGAAATAATGGACCGATGTAAACCATTTTCAACAGGCTTCGTCTACGATACCATAAAAGATCATGTGCCAAATTTCATTGAATTATCTCCAAAATTGCGACCAGTAGTTTGATTACAAGTTTTAAAAGCCCTATTCGAGGGGTTCAGTTGTATGGGGGCTAAGTGAAATAATGGACCGATGTAAACCATTTTCAACAGGCTTCATCTACGGTACCATAAAAGATCATGTGCCAAATTTCATTGAATTATCTCCAAAATTGCGACCTGTAGTTTGATTACAAGTTTTAAGAGCCCTATTCGAGGGGTTCAGTTGTATGGGGGCTAGGTGAAATAATGGACCGATGTTAACCATTTTCAATAGGCTTCGTCCCTGGGACAATAGAAGATCATGTACCAAATTTCATTGAATTATCTTCAAAATTGCGACCTGTAGTTTGATTACAAGGTTTACATGGACGGACGGACAGACGGACGGACAGTCGGACGGACAGACGGACGGACATAGCTAAATCGACTCAGAAAATTATTCTGAGCCGATTGGTATACTTTAAGGTGGGTATAGGACCAATATTATTGTGCGTTACAAACATCAGCACAAACCCAATATACCCTCCCCACTAAAGTGGTGTAGGGTATAAATATATGTATAAATGTTATCTAGCAACAATATCCCAGCTAGCATTTGGAAGATTGTTGGATGATTAATCAGTAAACTGAATAATTTTTGACTCATTTTGATGACCTAAAATTAATAAGTTGTGCGTTTAAAAAATGATACGAAAATGATCCCCATATATGATTGAAAAATGTTTATTTGAAAAACAATATCAAAATGTACAGCAATCATAAATTGATCATTCTGGTGTTTAAAATGTGATGGTTTTTAAAACTCATTTTGTGATCATATTTCAAGCAGTTGGAAGATCTAAAATTGTTTCTTATGTAATTGTTTTTGTTTTTAATGGAACAGCAAAATTACTCAAAAACTATTCAAAAACAAGTAAGAAAGTATAGACGGGCGTGACCGATCATATGATACCCTTCACCAGTTATGAATTAAATGTGATTTATTTTTCATAATAATTCATTGTTCAGATACATTTAAGCAATTTATGGATGAAAAACTAATTTTTTGAAAGAGGCTTTATATGGGGGCTAGGGGCAAATATGGACCTAGCCCGATAAAGTTTTTTGAATATATTTATATAATATTTATTTGTGCTGAATTTCATCGCATTATTTGTGTTTATAAGTTAATTTTGGACATTCAAGTAATTTTCGGAAGGGGAGCTAGGGTCAAATGAGGCACGATCTTTATGAAATTTGGCAAGGTAATCAAGGCTTGTATAAAACTTAGTTGTGCCGCTTTTTATCGATATACAGGTATATTCAACATAATTATGAGCACAGAAGCCTTTTTCGGGGGGTTCTGTTGTATGGGGACTAGGTGAAATAATGGACCGATTTTAACCATTTTCAATAGGCTTCGTCCTTGGGTCAAAAAAAGAGTGTGTGTCAAATGTGCTAAATCGACTCAGAAAACGATTCTAAGCCGAATGGTATACTTTAAGGTATAGGACGAATATTTTTGTATGTTGCAAACATCAGCACAAACCCAATATACCCTCCCTACTAAAGTGGTGTAGGGTATAATGAATAGAAACTTATTAGTAAAGGGGTTAATAATTTAGAAGAGTTGTGTAGCTTTAAAATGGGAAGATCATAACTTGTTCTTGTTTTATTGTATTTATTTATTTGTAACAGACATAAAAATGACTCAGGAAAGACTCAAAAATTACTTAAAAAGATTCTAAAACGACCAGTAATTCAATTTAAAAATTAATCAAAAAATATTGAAAAATGAATTAAAAGAAGTGCTCATAATAGACCCTTTTAGAAGAGTCGCTGCTAGAGTACCATTTTCTACCGACAAAAGTATCATTTATGATCAGAAGATAAGCGCATATGTGATCATTTTAATCGTGCAGAACAGTCATCAATGACTAGAATGTGATTAAAAAGAAAATGAGCGCATATGTGATCATTTTAATCATGCAGAAGAGTCATAAATGACTCGAATGTGATCAAAATTTTCCAAAAATGTTAGCTGGGACATAGTCGAAATATTTTATTCTCATTTAAAGCGTTCTCTTTCTGACTACCGCTAGATTATAAACACGGTATTCAAAAAATTAGGAGGAATTTCCCTGTATTAAGTATGAAGTTAAATAATATTACTGAAACAGCTGAATACTTTTTAAACTCGATAAATATTATGTGAACTTTACACTTTACGTATGAAAAATTAAATGAAATTCCTTGCGTATTTTAGTAAAGAGAATACAAGTTGTATGATTTATATTTTTTGCGTTTAAGGGCCCTTCAGACGATCATTCTTTACGTACGACAAGTCTATTGAAAAAGTAAAATGAAATTCCATGCGTATGACAAAAAAGATAATAAAAGTCGATTGATTTATATTTTTCGTGTTTACACGATTGGTATAAAACAATAACAAAGTGAGATGGAAACAGCTGTTTCACTTTCTTTGTATGTGTTTACATAAAAATACATCCTTGATCTAATGCGACTTGCTTGTTTTTGAATCATTTCAAAAAATTAAGAGAGCCATACGGCTGTCAAATTTTCCATCCGTATTTTCTCTCAATGTGTGATAGTTTCATTACATATTGCGTTTAGACTATCCCATCAAAATTTTGACAGATCATATTACTTGTGTGCTCGTGTAAAGCAGGCTTTAACAAGTAATGCATAATTGCCGGTTCACACAGGTAAAATTGTTTTTGGGAAACTTTGATTTTGTGTGTGAGAGAAAGCGATGGTTGATATTTATTTCTCTCACACACAAAAATTAAAAGTTTCCCAAAAAAAGTTTCCCTGTGTGAACCGGCACAAAGAGAACGAAATATCAACCATCTCTTTCTCCCACACACAAAATCAAAAGTTTCCCAAAAAATGTTTCCCTATGTGAACCGCCACTAACATGTTTTATGACGTTTTTAAATTCCAATCTACTTAATAAACAATTTGTTTTTTTATTAAGTTGTTTTTCAAAATAAGGGAATTTCCCGATTTCCCGAATGCAAACGCGTGATGTTTTTACAATTTTAGTACAGGCACGCGGCATGCGGGTTTAATAAAATTAATATACATACATATTTACAGAATATTCCATATAATTTTCGAATTGTTTTGGCAAAGGCGGGCGAAGCGGCAATGCGTCAAAGTTAAATATTGTTCAACATTTCCGCCCGGCCGCTTGGAAATCAATTGTCATATAAATTTATTGGTTAAATAAGGAAAAATAAATCACATTTTAAATTCATAACTGGTGTAGGGTATCATAAGATCGGCCAAGCCCGACTATACTTTTATACTTACTATCATTGACTTAAGTATTTCGTATCTAATTTTAATATTAATTGCTATAGAATCCTATTATTAATTTGAATTGAGTTTTTTTACGTAAAAATTTTAATTAAATCGACCACAAAGTAAATGAAAATACACTTAAAATAATTGTTGTTTTAGTTTATATGTAGTAACCCAGCAAAAAACACGCTAATGATTTCTACTTACACAAGAACTTACATATCGTCTGCATTAGTTTCAACTAAAGAACAAGAGGAGGTTTGTATTCTGTGTGGTAATTTTTTTTTAGCAAAACATAAACAACTTTTTAGCAGCAGATTTGTAACTACTTATTAAGGTAGTTATTTGTAAGCGAGCGTTTTAGGTACTAACTTAAAAAGTCATCACCGTATTAAAATGATGAGTTAAAATGTTAATGAAGAAGTAGTGAAAAGCGACTTTTTTATATGTAAGTTTTTGCTGGGAGGTTAATAAGTTTCCAAAATATGTAAGTGCAATAATGGCCTTGTTAGTTCTTCACAACTGTAATATGAGAGTCAATTAGTTGATTGAATTTGTGGCATAAAGTACATTTGCAAACATGAATATCAAGTGAATGTAATGATGATGATTTCAAAATGTCATAATTGACATAGAAAACTCATTGATTATAATGCCATTTCAATACAATTTTGCAATAATTCAATTAATAGCATACATAAGCATATACATTGCAGCTGGTATTTTTTGAAATTTTTGATCACATTCAAGTCATTTATGACTCTTCTATACGATTAAAATAATCACATATGCGTTCATTTTGTGATCATAAATGATACATTCGTCAGGATAAAAGAGTACCCTAGCCGACCTTTTCTAAAATAGCCTTTATAAGGACTTCTTTTCATCAGTTCCGACTCGTTTTTGAATCTTTTTTGAGTCGAATTACTGGACGTTTTAGAGTCTTTATCGAATCATATTTTAGTAATTTTTGAGTCTTTTCTGAGTAATTTTTATATCTGTTACAAACAAATAAAATAATTCAGAAAATCGTGGCAGCCATACCGCGACAAACTAAAAGTTTATAAGAAAGCTATAGCAGTCGCAAAAAGAACCTCATGGAGAAGTTTCTGCGAATCTATAGATAACACAAAGGCCTCTGCTAGACTTAGCA